TCCCTCTGGAACTGGACTCTAGTTTTAAAATGTTCAAATCTTTTTATTTTCTTTCCAGTGGAGGAAGATGCTTGGGAAAATTAATTTTCTATAAGCAACAGAGCGTCTCTGTTCAAGGAAATATACATTTTGCACCTGACAAGGAGGCTGCAATTTTGTGAATGTCTGGGAAGGAGGCTTCATTCATAACATGTACCTTTACCCATTCACTCCTTTTTAACAGCTTCTGTTCTTCTCAGTATAAGGTGCCCTCCTCTTTTCATAGGGATAAAAGGGGGGAAAGTGGTCTTTCTGTGATATTAAAGTCTGGTTACATATAAATATTGGACTGCCTTCTTATATTTAGAGTTTTGTACTGGTAAATAGCTAAAATAGTTGTGTAAAATGCAATATATTGTCTGAATAGAATTACTGTGACACTATAAATAACTATTAGATTTCAGGTTCTGAGAATTATGTGCAAATTTGCATCTACTGTTCTGTTTTTGACTCACTTTGACATATGAGTTGTGTGGCTGCATGGTTGCATTCTGTTGCTGGCCACCCACCGGGAAGAGAACATTTGCTCTGGTTGATTTCACTTAAGCCTTTTCAGGATTGTAGCCCCAGAGGTAATATGAAACAGAAATCCATTCATGTCAGTTTGCTGATAATGTTGAATGTAGCTGATTTGGCATCAAATAGAAAGCAAAAGCAAGAAACATTTAATTATGTATTGGATTTGTTAAGACTGCCCAGTTCCAAGAAGACCACAGAAATATGGCAAGCAACAGGAGAAGAATCAGTAAAGATTCTAACTAAGCTATGTCAGCAAATCTGGAGAACGACACAGTGACCAACAAATTGGAAGAGGTCAATCTACATTCCAATGCCAAAAAAAAGAAAAAGATTTAACAGAGTGTGAAATCTATCGTACAATACCCTTAATGTCATATACTAGCAAAATAATGCTTAGGATCCAGATGTTCAAGCTGGTCTTTTAAAAGACTGAAAAACATGAGCCATTATTGCTGGTGAATGCTGGATAATTGAGAAAGCCAAATAACACCAAAAAGCAGCCAGTATGTGCTTCATTCATTATAGAAAGGCCTTCAATTGTGTTGATCACATCTAGCTGTGAAATATGCTTAGAAAAATGGCAGTCCCATTCAACTCTTAGCAACCACATAGATAAATTTAATATATATATTAAATATAAAGACAAAACTAATGATAACAGGTACAAGCAGTCAAGAAATAGGTTGGAGTTAGCACTTGGTACAGCAGTCATGAAGGCTTTGGAAATGATATTCAGATGGTGTGATGGGTCTATATCTACAAAGATCAGAATAGTGCAAGCCATGACACTCTGTGGATGTGAAAGTTGGACTTTGAAGAAGCAGGATAGAAAGAGTACTGACACTTTTGAACTTTGGTGTTAGAGAAGACTCCTGAGAACACTATGGAGAGCCAAAAAAACAAACAAACCAATCATCAGACAAATCAACCCAGAGTTCTCATTCAAGGCACAAATGACCAGACTCAACTTATCCTACTTTGGGCACATTATGCAAAGACCCAGCTCTCTGAAAAAGGCTCTATTGCCGGGAAGGGTGGAAGGGAAAAGAAGAAGAGGAAGCAGCAAGATGGATGGACTCAGTTACAGTGGCAAAGAAGACACCATAAGAAGACCTGAAAGACCAGGTTAGGGACAGATCATCATAGAGAAAATTTATCTATGTGGTTGCTAAGAGTTGACACCAACTTGATGTCACATAATCAATGTGCTGTAGTAGCCCTAGGAAAATATCTTTTAACTTGGGAAGCGGTATAGAAATTGCTTAGAATAAAAAAGATAGATATAATGTGAGCTATAGTATGAGAGTAATAATACTATATAAAAAAGGATTCAGTTAAACTCAGAACAATACAATTTTAAAAAAATAGTCCACTGTATTATACACAATACATCATATTTATAATATTCAAAATGTTACCTTTCCAACAGAATAAAATATTGAATGACTAGTTAAAGTTGCTGGTGCTTGCTTAATTGTTCATTCCTTCTCTCCAAAAAGAAACCTATGTTATATAATTTGTCTGTTTCTGTTACCATGTCTGTTAAAATACATTAAACTTTATTTCATGGATATCCCAGATCATCACAGTTTAGAGAAGTTAGAAATATCACATACTGTATTGTTCCATTGTTCATGATGAGAATGTTAATTTCCACAAGGCGGCACTGTTTCTATCCATCATGGAGAAAATGAGCTTCGTAGGTAGTATAGGTTCTGTTTTCATAATGAATTGCAATAGCTTATGAAATGGTGTGTGTATATTATACACTGCAGCCTTCAAAACAGAACTGGGACAAATATGATTTCACATTTTGAAACTATAAGGACCAGCAGGCTAACTGTGCTGGATTAAGTGTGCTGATTAAAAAACATGTTTTTAGTAACAGAAACTCAGTTTTCTTTCCACTCCTCTCTGTGCTGGCTTTTCACCAAAATATCCTTAGAATACATTTTGTTTTCTAGCATATAGCAAATTAGTTTCCAATAATTACTTATTCCATTCGTGGGACACTTAAAACCAAATTCTTGGCTTAATAAGAATTAAATTTCTGCGAAGGAACAGCTGCTACTAACAAGCTAGATAACTGGAGAGGGACTTTTTATAAGGTTTGGAAAAATAAAAAGAGCTTAAAATATGCTTCCCTCTAAAAATATTATCATCCAAAAGGCACTGCAGGTGCGGGGAGGTTTTATTTGATGTATGTTTGTTTCATTTTTATCATGTTTCTCTCTGAGAGCTCAAGGCATCACATCCTCAGAATAACAACCTTGTAAGATAAGCTGGGCTAGGCAGTTTTTACGAGCCGAGTCCCCAGTCAACTCCATGGTTGGCTGGGGACTTGAACTGGGGTCTCCTTGCTTTAAGCAATACTGTATATTGTAATGGCTCTCAGATGTGAGATTTAAAAAATGAAGAAAAACATATCTTGATGGGGTGGAATAGACTGAACTTAAAAGATACCAAGACTATCTACTCTCAAACAGTTGTGGTTGAAAGAAAATTGTAGAATTTAGAAGTTTAGCAGGTACAAATGTGTTTGTATGTATGTATGAACATAAGAGTAACAAAAGCCTGTTTCTGACTAGAAAAATGCCTTGATTTTTAAAAGTTAAAAAATGTAAAATAAAAGCTTTTTAAACTAGGAACATGATGCTATAATGAGCCCTCCCCAAACCTGCATTTCTGGGAGTTGCTGTTTAACTCACCTGAAAGGTGCCAGGTTGGGGAATACTGGCGTAAACAATTAAAGTAGCTAGAAATGGGATGTCAAAACAAGAGGGTAGGAATGCTAGCAAACAAATGTTCACTTTTATCATTGCTTTTGGGCTGACATTTTTTTTTCACCAGACATAATTTATTTGCCCTCTTAATATATTTGACCCCTTGATATCTCATAGATCCAGTGTATTATTTTTATATGCGCATGTATGCTAATGATTTTGTGTTGGCTAGTGTTGTGTTGTGTTCTAGAATAACCTCTATGAATGCTTTCCAGATATCTTTGTTACACTTCACTTTGTTGTTACTCTTCTATACTGTCTGCTTTATAAGCTCTGCTTCATTTATTTATTTATATATATAAATGGGCCACCATACATACAGTATCTTTTTATTTTATTATCTTTGTTACACTTCACTTTGTTGTTACTCTTCTCTTTGTTGTTACTCTTCTTTTTATTGTTGTTGTCAGCCCCCCAGAGTTGTGTTTTTAGATGGGCCACCATACATACAGTATAAAATAAAAAGATACTGTATGTATGGTGGCCCATCTAAAAACACAACTCTGGGGGGCTGACAACAACAATAAAACCCAGAACTATAAAAACCATAAAGCATAAGACCAAAACAAAGCCCTGAGCCTCAATTGTCCCCTTGGGATGCAACACAACCAACTCCAGACATCCTCTCTCTGCCTCAGAGCCTGGGTAAAAAGCCAGGTCTTGATGGCCTTCTGGAAGGCTAAAAGGGTGGGGGCCTGCAGGATTGGGGGGGAGGGTGTTCCATAACTAGGGGCAGCCACGGAAAACGCACGCTTCTGAGGTCCCACTAAATGGCAAGATTTCAGGGAAGGGACTGGGAGCATGCCTAGCCTATCCAGTGTGGTAGGCTGGGCAGATACTGTCAGGCTATACTGGCTTGTGATAAGGAGCATTATGTGCATGTACAAAAGGGGTGCAGCTTGATTACCTCCCTCTGCCACAGAGTTTTTTCCTCCCCTTGCCTTTGGGCCAATAGCATTTGTCAACTTAGATATTTGCAAGTTCTGTGTACTTGTAGAAACAGAAAAAACAATGGAACTTATAAAGGCTACATTCCTTGAGTTGGTCCTTTTAGCTGATGAAAGGTGGTGCAGCAGACCTGTAAATAAATGTCCCTCTTGCTGTTGGACAGGCAAGGAGAACAAGAGCTGAAAATATCATTGTGAAATGTAATTGTGTGTCTGGCTTCAGGGTGGGAAGCTTGATATCCTGGGTTTATTTGGAGTTCACAAAATACAAACCAACATAAGCAAAATGCTGAGGGCAATGGAATCACCTGGTATAAGTTGTTTTGAGTATCGCTGTATTCAAAGGTAAGGCAAGTAAATACATTCTAAGAAAGAGATATTAATTTTGGTTTTGGATTTTTATTACTTGTCCATGTGTACATATTTGGGCAGTATTGGTCTTTCTCCACTAGAGGGGGCTAACAGAATGAGAAATTTTTGAGTTAGAGGCATGAAAAATAATATAAAACAATAGTATACTTGAAAATTATATTTTTTCTATCATGGCATTCTTTTTTCATGAATGGACATTTTGGAAATCTTTGTGTGATATAATGAGTAGACAAGTGGATGACTTCAGCCACTGAATCAATTTAAGCAAAGACTTGCTTAGAAGACTTTTAAATTAATGCTAATAACTATTCAAATTTTATTTACATATACCTATTGATAGGTCTGTGTATGATGATCAGCCAAATGCACACCAAAAGTTTATGGAAAAATTGGATGCATGTATACGTAACCATGACAAAGAGATTGAAAAAATGTGCAATTTTCACCATCAAGGGTTTGTGGATGCCATTACAGAACTTCTTAAAGTAAGGGCTGATGCAGAGAAACTAAAGGTAAGGCATTGCAGCTTTTTAAATACTTAAAAAAAATAATGAAAGGATTATTTTGTACTGTACTAGAACACAGAATTTATTACCACACATTCTTTTTTAAAGTAAAATATTGATACCTTTAGATGCTTACGAATAGTGACTCAAAACATTACAATGGTGACAAAAGAACTATGCCATGAAAATGCTACAATTAATTTTAGTAATTAAATACAAATAATTGTGTAGAAGATTATCTTATTCATCAAATCTAGATGTTTTAGCAAGTGTTGATCTTTTTCTGAGTCCCCAGAACTAGCATGGAAATTTCCTCTTCCCACAAATGTTTCTCCAAAAAGCAGCTGAAATTGTTGGGATTCTTTTGAAAACTGTGAGATTTCCTCAGAAGTAAATTGTGGAAGTGGTCTCTCTTAGCTCCCTTTGCAGATTTGTAAGAAAAATATGTGCACCAGACAGAATGAGCATAGTTCACCAGAGGTTATGAGTAGAACAGCATTATATAAAGGATATTCATATAACTAGAGACTCAATGAGGTCATTGAGCATCTTTGTTCAGAATTTAATGAGTTTTTTAATAAACTAGAATGTGCTCCCTTATTATGATGACCTAATGAGTCACTCAATATGTGGGAAACTCTGAGGTCGAGCACTGCCTGCACCTGCAGCATTAAAATGTCGCTTGGTTGGCAGTATCCACGTTTGATGTTAATCAACCTCCCAGTGTTTGCATTCAGCAAAGTATGAATGTTTAATTACCATAAAATGCAATCAACATTTCTTGCAGACAATGAATGACACATAGAGCTCATTGAGGTTATCAAAGAAGGACCAGTGGTCAATTGGGTCAATAATTTGAATTGTTTGACAGACCTATTGAAACAAAGTTCAAAAATCCCAAGTAAATTTGAGAAGTTTGCCACTGAATCTGTTAGAAAGAACTGTCATAACTAATTGAAGTTAACAAAAACCCTTGGTGATCAAAAGTTCAAGTTCAAGCTGTAGAGTTAATTTGGATTTACATTTCTTTGTTCTAAGTTTCTCATGAAGCATGATCTGATTACAAGGGTGAGCAGTTGCATCAGGGCATTATATGCGTATTTTTCTAATAAAGGTGAAATCATTTTTAAGGTCCAAGTTACTGATACAAACAGAAGACTTCAAGAAGCTGGGAAAGAGGTAAGAAAATGGCTTTTCCAATTCATTCAACAAATGTTTATGGAAAATGACGTGTACATAATTTAACTATAGTATGTTTGAAAATATCCAAGGTGCTAGCTCAGACAGAGGAAGTCATCCAGAGTAGACTTCAGCAGAGGAATATTATCACCGTGGTTGAGAAACTTCAGTTGTGCCTTCCAGGTTAGTTATAAATGTTTAAACGCCAAATGTAGGAGTACCTAAATATCTCTACCAAAGTTAAATGTAGGTACATTTCAACAGAACTAATGCAAAATTGAGTTTATGTTTGTGGCATACTTTCTAAAGCAAATATTGTTGAAGACTTAAAAGTGATGTTTAAAATGAGATGCAGTTTTCTTTTTTAATTTTTTTAAAATTTTGTTCATTTATATCCAGGATATTAGTGAGGGACTGAATATTGTTGATGATATTAATTGGTAGATATGTTGTTGTCATGTGGTTGGATATTATTTAACCACTCTTTGAACACTGAACGTTTCAAAGGCAAGCTGAAACATCATATCCATCATTTTCCAAATCTCCATTTCTGATATTTGATTTTAATTAGATAGAGAAACATTGCATTTTTACCACTGTCTGTAAATCACCGTGGTTCCCTGATGTATTCTTCCTGTAACAGATGTTCCTGCCAACAGCAGTGATCTGTTTTTGGATGTGAATCCATTGTAATTTTCACAGATCACGTTAGGTGGTACTGTTGGCATACAATGCACTATCCTCTACTAATTTCTGTTGCAGCCCCCACCCTCCGAACAGCATCCCCCCAGAGATAAGGAGGGTGCCCTCTCTTCTGGGTTCCAGAAAGCTTTGAAAACCTGGCTTTGGTCCCAGGCCTGGGGTTGATGTTTATGATTTGTTCAGTGGCCCCTGTTCTGTGTTGTTGTTTTTGCTATCTATTATTTGCTGCCTGTGTGATTCAATGTTTTTAGTTGTTTTTATATTTTTTCTAGTTTTGTGCACCACCCAGAGACCACTGGAGTTGGGCGGCCAATCAAGTTAAATAAATAAATAACAACAAATCTTAAAAATGCTTTGAGATCACCTTAAACTTGTTCTCTAAATGTACTATTTTTACTTATTGTTCTCTTCCTTTTTCCACCTTATATTTTTATCTTTATATTATAAAACTTTCATGAGGACAAGAATGCCTTTATATATAAAACCAATCATTTTGAGAGCTTTGTATCTTGATTAAATATTTATAGTGGAATTTATGACTTTTAATATGTCTTTTCTTACAGTATTGGAGATGTACAGCAAATTAAAAGAGCAGATGAATGTCAGAAGGTGAATAAATCCTTTTTAACCCAACTAAATGTTTTAATGAATTGGTTCATACGCTTGTCTTTTGCAATTACTGATGGAGTAGTAAAGCCTACTTTGGTGAAGACATTTAATGACTTTGGTCTGGTCATTGTATTCTTTTCCTGTCTTTGTTTCATGTTTTTCATTACAAATGAACAATTGTCATGAGGAAAAATAAAGCATTTTCAAAGGGTTATTGACTGCCTTTAGAAATTAAACTTCCAAGCCATATCCATGAAATTTAAATAGTTAAATTTGGTTTATAATTTCAGTTATTGTTTGATTTGTTTTTCTTATTTTAAAACAAGTAATAAATTATCAAAATAGCAAAGAGGCTTTTCTTGCTGGTTAATATTTGTCTTTGGTTGCCAGCTAGTACACCATGCAACTTTCAAAGCAAGTTCTAAATAACTGTGTCATTTTTCATTAAAAAGAAATAATGCACACTTTAGATCTAACTATTTGATGTCTATGCATATTTATTGAATTAAAATTCAGGCTTTTTAATTATGTTGAGTAGTTGCTTGAATATGCCAGGAAGACAGTACAGTATAGCCAAACGCTTTGCTTTTCACCTTTCTCTAATTATTTTTTTAGTCTTGTTAATCTTTCAATCTCTGTCTCTCTTAGGGTTTATATATTGCTAATATACTGTGTCTGTACTATTTCATTTCTTTTTGTACTCTTGATGAAAATGGGAAATTCCTGGAGCCATCTTGGTTAGGCTACTGTCTATTATGCAGAATCATTATTCTGTAGTGCAGCCACCAGATTTCCCTGCCTTTTAACCATGACGGTATGCCCTCTAACCTTTCATGGATAAAAATAGAGACACTCTTTTGCATGAATAGGAAGGAATATGGGGAAAGCCTGGTGGTCTGGCAATGTGGCTGCAGAACAATGGGGGGCAGGGGCATCCGCAGGGGGGTCAAAAAAGTCAGGATGATGGCTGTGACTGTGTGATTGAGGCACTGTCCTTTATTCTGTATGCTATGCATGCAATGGATATGAAAAGAGGCAGGGCTTCAATTGTGCAGATGGGGCCGCCATCTTGACCGTTTTAAACCCTAGATTGGCATCCCTGGTGATGAGGTCCATTCAGTGTGAATTCAGTAAGCCATACTCCGAAAGCAGGAATAAAGGTGTGTGCAGGTGGAACCAAAGTAAATCAAGTAGATTGTAATTACATCCAATGTAATGAGACAAATACAATAAAATATAAATATAATCCTTTGATCAGAATCTGGGAATGTGTTTGCAGTATCTAGGAATTGTTTGTTTGCTTTGGCTTGCAGAAAAACCTAGAAGCCCAGCTCTTTACAACTCTTTTCTTCCTTGCACACACCTGCTTAGGTTATGGTGGAACAACAGTCCCAAATCTACATGGAAGCAATACTTTTATAAGGTGGTGGTGAAGGTTTACAGAATAATGTGCAAATATCTAAATGTCCAAGAACTTATCATCAGACAAGATGGATAAGAATATTTGGGGTGGGGGGTGGGGAAAGCAGGGAAGTGGAAGTAGGTAAAACTGGTTTTAAAGCTGCATCAATACAAGATTATAATTTTAGAACATTTCTAGGAGAGTGTCCCGATGCACAGTTTAATTTTATCACATAGGGAGATGTTGTTAAATTATACCCAGGTCTTCCCAAGCAAATACTTCTTAGGCTTCCCTACTTCTGGAAATATAAATATCTGTTCAAGAGTGCTTTCTGACTTTCTGGGAGACACAGAACCCTTAGTAGTGGATATTGCCAAATAGTAGCAGTGAGAAGAAAACCGTAATATGGAGAAAGTGTATTAATATTCTCACTTTCTCCCAATATGCATAGTCCTTTGGATTACTTAATGCAAGGATGCAGTCATTGTATTGTGGGTATCCCTTAGTCTGTCAGTGTGTAAAATATTGGGACTGCTGCAATATAGAGAGTGGAAATATATTCTACTTCAGGAGTTGGGGGCAGCAGGCTCTTTTAATTCTTTCAAAATCAGAGATTCAATGTATAGGAATCTCAGAACATGAAGCCAGTTGCTAAGACTGCTCAGAACATCCCTGTTGGACTAGGAGGCTCAAGTATTAGAGAGATTCTATACATATTTGTAGGAAAGTAAGATATGTAATTGGTCTGCTTTTTGATACATGATTTGAATCAGTTGTGAAAGAAGCTCCATCTTTGATATAATTAGACAGTATAGCCCCCTTTCTAGTGGATTTAAGAGTTGATTAAAATTAGCTATCTGGCCAGCTAAGAAAAATGGATTAGAGCTAAAAACAAAAGCATTAGTTATCCATGTGCCTCCAAGGTCCTATACATTCTATGGAGAATGAAATATAGGGGATATCTGAAGTTCAGTATAACATATGTGTTTAAGTCTTTTATAACTTAGACCCAGCAGAGTGACTAGCTCAAGTAAATTCAGAGCAGTAACATTAGAAGAAGAATCATAATAAAATCATGTTTAAGATTATTTAACTGGGATTAAACGAATGTTAAGCAAACATGTTCTTCTGAATAGGCAGTATATCCCTCTAACACAGTGGTTCCCAACCTTTTTTATGCCCCACACCCCTAGGAAATGTTTGATTAATGTTCGCACTCCCTGCAAAAGTAATATTACATTTGAAGGTGAAGAAATCTAATTTCTAATGCAAGTGAACAAACTGTACTTAAAAAAATAAGCTCAGTGCATAAAATTGTCGCACCTCCTGAAATTCCATCTCACACCCCCTGGGGGTGTGGGCACCCCGGTTGGGAACCCCTGCTCTAACACCTAAACAGGGGAAGCAGAGTTCACAGTATGATAGCATCTCTATCATTATTAATTAATTGAATTAATTGAATTAATTGAGTTCAATTAATTAATTGAACTCCTTGCAATCTAAAACCCCTTAGAAGGTTTTAGATTGACTCCCTATCCAACAAAAATATGCAGAGAATATTCTTATGTTGTTCCCCTTCCATCCGGCATCCACTCCTCTTTTCCCCTTCAACAACTCTTTAACCAGATGGATATTTGCTGCCAATCCCTTCATACCCGTTCTCTATTTCCCTGACCCAAACTCACTATCTAGAAATATTTTATCAGAGCAACACAGTATCTTACCTTACTATCAGCGTGGGTCTGAAATATGAGAATAAAGTGTATCTGAGTACAGTTTAGACAAGGTGCCTTTCCCTTGCAGTTGAAAATGGCTCCTTTCTATCTTGCACATGTTTAAAAACCCAATTGTGGCATGGTGGGGGACAAGGATTAACTCTCTGTTATTTGTCTGAATGGAAAAGAATGTAGGTATAAAACTGCACATCTCTGAAAGACAGTATCAGAAATAATCTGCCATGTTCTTGCTGTTCTCTTTGACTAGAAATTTATAAGAAGAGTTGGGACAGATGCTACTTAGAGAAGATAATTTCTTCTGTTCTGTCCCATTTTTGTCCTTTATACTTAGGAGCAATCAGAGGCAAAAGCTGATTCTTGGCCCACTGCCCTGAATAATAAGGAGGGTTCCTAGGCAGAGCCTAGCAGCACAAAACTCTGCTTGTGACATAGCTCCAGAAGTAGCCAGTCTGAAGAAGGCTTGGTCCTCTCGACCCCAGAAGAGTCTGTATCCAGTGTCATTTGTTTCCTCCTTTTCATGTCTACTCTTGTATGAGACTAGATTATTCAGGATCTGGAATTTAGGCTGTTACCATTTTGTTTTGGTTAAAAAAATGCTTGCTAAGTTGTTAGGTTTTTCCTTTCTTTCTTAAAAGAGATGTTTCTTGTTTTTCCCAGATACTATTCTGCTTTAAAAACAATGGAACAGCTAGAAAACATATACTTTCCTAGAGTTAGTCAGTATCGGTTTTGCCAAATCATGATGGGGAACCTTCCAAAACTTCGCGAGGAAATTAAAGGGATTTCCATGTCAGATCTGAAGGACTTCCTGGAGAGCATTCGGAAGCATTCAGATAAAATTGGTGAAATGGCAATGAAGCAGGTAAACTTTCTCAAATACTCACTTTGTTAATATTGGTAAATAAAGCCTGACTGCAACAATCCAATTTAGTCCTGTTCCTGTCCTCAAGGAGCCTTCTCTGATCAGAGCATAGCACCCAAGGGCCTCTTTTATCATTCCAAATACATATTGGCAAACACCATAAGTGATGGCGCTCTCCGCAGGAATGTAGCTTTTTCCTACACATTTTGAAGTGTAAAATACAGCTTTACATCCAAATGGTAAAATTGGATGAATCAGATTCATGTTTGTCACACCTGGGGAGAAAAATAAAACCTGTGGAATCACTCTGGGAAGCCTTCATGTGTAATTCTGGAAATGTGGCAAAAACCCTGCAGCGAGTCTAGAATGGGGTGGATGTTTGTCTTCCTGTGGGTTCTTTTAAAGGCCTCTGTAAAACATACTTGACCGTGCTGGGCCCTTGTGCCAAGGGTACGTTCTGCTGACTGACTGCAAAGTGGATGTGCTTGGATGTGATCAGGAGTGTTTTGTCAGATAAGGGCTGACACGTTCATATGCCCACTATATTTCTTTTCTTCCTCCTTCCCTGCCTTATATTATCCCCACCCCCTTCAGTTGGGTTCAGAAGGAAATGGTTGAAAGACAGATTTAGCACCCTTCTCCCACTTTTGTTTCCGTCATATGTTCAGCTGCACAGTGAGTTTGCCACACTGCATCTGGCCTTTTCAGAAAAATGCTAAGGTCTGCTGGATCCAGCTAAAGTGTTATAAGACTCTGTTCCCTCAAACCTGCCTAGTTATGACTTGCATTTGTTTCTTGGTATAAAAGAGATCTGAGGAATTATTTTCTTGATAGCATATGCTTTATCAATGCAGGCACAGCAGCAGAAAACCTTTAATACTGCTCTTCAGAAGCATAGCGGTCTGTGTTGTGGAAGGAATGTATATGTAAATAGCAGTGGAATTGCAGAATCAAGGAGCGAAATAGTTTCAAAGCAAAACCTAGAAGATGAAGAAGAACATGAAGAGGAGGTATTTTAGTGGATTATCTTGTATTTTGATGGTTAGGTGTCTTTATGGTGTAGACTTTCATTGAGAAATAAGCAGAAACCTGAAGTTTATTTAAAAAAAAAAATCTGGTATAAGCTGGGACTTAAAAAGAATTGCTCCAAAGTACTTAAAGCCTGATGAAATGTGCAACATTTTTTTTCTCCTTATTGAGTACTTATTTCTATTACATGTTAACACTTATAAAGCCGCTCCTGGTTTTCAGAAGTAGTTTCCCTGCATGGCCATTATTTTTACTCATGGCATAATGTGATATACTCGATACAGGTAGTCCTCGAGTTACAACCATTCGAAGTTATGATGGTGCTGAAAAAAGTGACTTACGACCAGTCCTTGACTGCGTCCCCTGCAGTCACATGATCAAAATTTGGGCGATTGGCAACTGGCCTGTATTTACGATGGTCGCAATATGCTGGGGTCATGTGATCGCCATTTGCGACCTTCCCAGCCAGCTTCCAACAAGCAAAATCAATGGGGAACCTTGTGATTCACTTAATGACCACGTGATTCACTTAACTGCACTGCTTAACAACGAATTTTACTGTCCCTATTGTGGTTGTAAGTCAAGGACTACCTGTAAATATCATTCAGATGAATTTGATTTGGCTGAATACTTTATGCTACTCTTTTTTGTTATCAAGAAAAAGAAAAATGTAGGGGATTACCTCCATTTTCTTCTTTCAGGAAAACAGCCTCACTGTAACTACAAAAACCGTCAGTTATCTAATAGCTACTGCTGTAGTAGCTGTCCTAGATTTAGATAATTTATTTATTATCACCATTGCCCTTTTTATTCTTTATCTAATGAGGCCCTTGCTAAGCTTTTGCCCTCCAGTTGTGTTAGATTAAGTTGATAGGAATTGTAGTCTCAAAGAGTTGAAAGGTAACTTTGAGGAGGGTATTTTATCATTGATGGAGTAGAGTAGCAATCTTTTTGAATAAGTACATTCCCTCTTCAGTTACCACAATGACCAGATAACTAGTCATGATAAATTTTTCCTTGTACAGAAGAATACTGACTTAATGTTGAGCCTATTTAAAATTTATACTAAAAGTTTGCTTTGTAATATTATAGCTGATGTTATATTCTTGTCTTTTTTGTGGGGGTGGATTTCTACAGGTTTTGACTGCTCATGATCTGGTAGATTTTTCTCCTGTTTATAGATGCCTACATATTTATTCAGTTTTGGTATGTATTTGTATGTTATATATGAAATCCTTTTATTCATAGAAATGTATCTACAGTCTGATAATAAATATATGTATGTTATTTATTGCCTGCTAGTAATGTTTATTGTTGCAGCTTTGTCTTTTCATTCATAAAAAGGTCCTTCCGAAAAGGCAAGAGCCTGTGATCTTTTGGAGGCTCTCTTTTACAGACAGAAAAGGCAGATTTTTTCCCCCTAGTTTTCTTTCTCTTCTTAATTCCCATTGTTACCTCATGTAGTTCTGAAGAGTCCCCCAGTTCTCTGAAACAGCTAAAGACAAATGAGGCTGCAGAGAAAGGAGAAATTAGTGACAAGGTTATTGGGTGCAACTCTACAAAATTGACTGAGGCTAAGTAATGTTTAGAGTAGTCTCACTGAAAACAGTGAGATCAGGTTAGCTTAATTTAAGTCATATTGATGATAATGTGCATATTTTAAGTGAAATTTGGGCTCTGATAGGAGAGGGTATTCAATTCTTTGTCCTATCATGGTTCTGATCTAGGTTTGTAATCCTTCCTCTTGCAAGTCCTATCTACTATAGGTAATTAAAAATATGCAGTTAGTAGTTCTATGATTATATTCTTGTCCAGATAATCCCTAAAGGTAGCAATAAATGCAATATATTTTCAAGACAGGGGATTGAAAATAAATTCTAATGAAGGCTGTAATGCCATGAAACTTCAGTGGTGGTAGCATTTATAATTGTGGGGAAATTTTAAGTTTTGAAATAACATTTATGTACTGTATTTTCTATTTTTGTGAGGATAAACATGCTGTTAGACAAGCAGGGAATTTCACTATCCTGCTATGGTCCTCTTCTGCAGTTGGTTGGATAGGAGCACTAGGCTTGGTGGGACCTAACTCAAGAGTCCCAGAGGAATATGCAGGTCACACCTTACTGTGGAAAAGAGATTGTAAGGAAAGCAAGAAATGTGCGCCTGGTGGTCTCTTTCATGGTAAATCAGGAGCAAAACATCCTTGAGATGATGCAGGGGGATCCTTGGTCCTTTACTCAAGTCCCTGTTTTCTTGCAAGAAGGTCCATCAGTAAAGGCAATAAAGAGAATTTGTATAGCTACAGAGAAGATCAGGAAATCACCAGGGTGATCCAAAAGTCTGCTTTCACTACTTCATGGCCAATCTGTTTACAGGATGATAGGAACTGAAATCCTAAACATATGGAATTCCTGTACTAAAACAGAGTCTGAGAGTACATATGCACAGAGTACATATTTGAAGATACGATTATCCCACAATTAAAATAGAAGCTCCTTTTCATAATTAGAACTGTGGGGAAGAAAGTTGTCATGTAGGTATTTTGAGAGAACAAAGATATGTCTAAAATTGTGCATATTTTTCCATTTAGGGTGATGCAGAAACATTTGAAAACTACTATAGAAAACAGAGAAGAAAACAAGCGAGACTAGTTTTACAGCCACAGTCAAACATGGTACTTGAACTTTAAAAAATGGATTTATACAACCTCTCAAATTGCTTTCTGTTAAATGATTGTGTTTTTTTCTTACAGCATGAAACAGTAGAAGACTACAGAAGATACTTCAGTCAAATTGTAGGGTGAGTTCCAAAATAAGTCTGTTATTACAGCTTTTCAACCTGTTTGCATTTGCTTTTTTGCCTTAATTTTGCTATATTAACACCAGCAATGGATATTTTAAGATACCAAGGAGAGTGAACAGTTGTGCTACCTTGCTCCACCCATCATCATATAACAAATTAAGCTTTCTTGAAAGTAAATCTTGTGTTTATCAAAGAATTGGATCTTCAGGGCAAAAAGACCATTAATGCCTTGGTGAGATATTCTTCCTAGTGCCTGCTGACAATTATCATTCTTCTCTGATTGCCACTACAACATCCCAGAATGTCCAGGCTGAAGTTGTATAGTATATAACTGAAAACCATAGTACAGCAACTATGATAGGTAGGTCGAGGCCTAAAATTAAGCAGAAACATTGCTCTCTTCTTAGATAGCAGTAGACTGAATCTCTCACTTATGCAACATCCATTGACTGCCAAGATGTCTTCAGTGCACTACAACTCAGCCTGGGTTCAGTTGTTGGTTTTCTGTTGACTTATAATAAACTTCACAATCTAGGCAATCAGCCCTACATTGCTTTCCCACAGTCTTGCTGTGTTGATTGCATACAAAAAAAATTGTTCTCCCACTGAGGGGCAGTTGGAGGGAAAACTTCTATATTTATTACTTATATCTCAGATATACTTTTCCTAATTAAATGGCAAAGAGTAGGTGTCTTCACACATTCCCTTTAGCAAGGTATTAAAGGTACAAAATGTACTAAAGGCCCTGATACTACAAAAAGTCAGTGAAACTACTAAGATTTTCATTATGTTTTAGTGCTTCTACAATGAATGCTAGTAAAGCCTCTGGGTTTGGGGGCTGAGGGTGAAAGGGAGGAGGGAAAGAGAGAGCCCTGTGCTTTATTGCTATTTATAAATTGTATCTCAGGAAAATCACTTTAATTCCACTATTTATCTTGTTGTGTGCGTTCAGTTTTTTTGTCGTGGAGGATCACATTTTACATGCCACCCGAGGACTAATCACAAGAGCTTACACGGATGAACTTTGGAACATGGCACTTTCAAAGATTATTGCTGTCCTTAGAACTCATTCAGTAAGTGAGCTCGTTTTGTGAAGCTTCCCTTTAAATTCATCTACTTAAGGCCCTGCAAAGTATGTTTAGAGGAAGGAGAATGTGGGGAATGGTGGCGATGGTGTAGAATACAGGTCTATCATTGGAAAGGGGGGTTGTAATTTAAAATTGCTCAGATTTGGGAGAGAGCCCATCAAGCTTTTGTTTGTCTCTGCAGTATCAGGCTGTGAGTCACAGCCGTGGGCTATCTGCATAATCCCCCCCTGATTTGCAACTCCCCAGGTCTTCCAAACTGTGTTCTTAGTCTGAGCAGTTTAGAATATTCAGAGTTAATCTGCTCTTATTATTACAATCTGTCCTAATTAGTTTCAACCGACCTCTTCATTAGATCAGATTGAATTCATTTAGCACTGAAAATAGCACCAGGAAATAGTTTCTAATTGTAATTCCAAAAACTCTGTTTCCAAAATAAACTTCACCAGCAAAACCTTTTAGTACTTCTAAGGCACAGATCTGTTTCTAGCTACTAGACGTTATTTAATATTAGCTGTTATTTGATTGGGGAATTATTAACAAGTGTCATTTAGTCTTACAGAGTTATCTTTTCTTAATTTTTTGCAAGTATTTGCCTGTAAAAGAATGAAATAGCAAAAATTGGTAATAGCTGATTGAATTTTATTGTGACAGTTGGTCTGAAAAATAGAAGCAAATAGTTACCTAACCCAGGTTATTTATTTTATTTACTTAGCACATTTATTTAGCACATTTATATAGCTGCCCATCTCACAAAAAAGTGATTCTGGGAAGTGTAGAAACATAACAACTGTTAAAAACTACACAACAATCTAAAAGCAGTCAGCCATAAATAAAATAAACATATAAAACCCAAGAATGCGGGAGAACAGCCGTCACTTGACCTCATACAGCCACCTTGCAGATACCCCATGGGATTCCCAAGGCTGATGAAAAAACCATGTTCTAAGGGCCTGAAAAAGCCATGTCTTAAGGTTAAGTGTTTATCTATACAAAACCCCCACATATTTTTCAAATCATTTTCAACAGTAATACTTCTTATGGTCTCAGCAGGTGACGGAATTGGGCCAATCTTATCTGAAGTTTACTCAGAAACTAAGGAGGGTTAGATCTAGTTAATTCTTGGAAGGGAAACCACCAGGGGATCCCACATATCCAGGCTAGAGTGAGAAGTTGCAAAAACATCCTGGAAGAAGACAGTGGCAGACTACATCTGTATATTGCCAAGCAACCTGCATGGATGTATCTCTGCAGTCACCACTGATCAAGCTCAGCTCAAGCATATCTTTATCTTAAATCTTTTTATAGTTTCTACTTAAAGAACAAACTGGAGTAGCCCACATTTCCATCTTAAATCAGGTTTAGTGATGGGGAGCAAAGCGGGAGGTAGAGCACTTTCTCAGAAGTTGACCTGAATGCCAATTTGGATGGCTTTAGAAGAGTATCAGATACATTAATGGAGAACAAGACTATCAGTGGTTTCTAGTCATGAGGGGCTATATATCATCTCTGAGAAACCCTTCTCAAAAACTGTTTCTGGGGAAGATGAGCAGGAGTCCTATTGCCAATATGTTCTGCTTGTAAGCTTCTCGTAAGCATCTAGTTGGCCACTTTTGGAACAGAAAGCTATATTAGATGGACCTTTGGATTGATCCAGCACGACTCTTCTTTTCTTATCTTCGTTTGCTGGTTGTGAGATGAAGGCAAGAAAACCCTGATAAAGAGCCTTTCCTTCGAAATGGAGGAAAGGTGGTGAAAAGGTACCCAGATTGCTCTTGTTTGCTCCTTCCTTTTCTCTGAGTTCAGTAGAGAATCACAGTAATTGTTCTTGCCTCTTTCTTTTTTTAAAAAAATCCATACACTACTGGGCCATTAGTAAGCTTCATTGCTGTTGAGGATGAAGAACACATCAGTAGACTAATATTAATTTGCTTTATTTTTTTAAGCATAATCTGTGCTTTTAACTTTCAGTCCTATTGCACTGATCCTGATCTTGTTCTGGAGCTGAAGAATTTGATAGTTGTCTTTGCAGATACCTTGCAGGTTGGTAATGTGTTAGCATTTCAGGCATGGAATGTCCATTTACCATCCTTTTCTTATTTATTTTATTAGATTCAAGAAATGCTTGCTTTAAGATTAAACATACACGAGTAATGTCCTTACACATATTAAAAATAGAAAAGATAAGAAAATGGAAAGCGAGACATCTGTTTTCAGTAACTTTTGACTGTCTTCCCCAATCTAGTACCTTCTAGATTTATTAGAACTACAATACTGGGATTCCTAGCCAGCGTAATCAAAGGTCCTGCTGGCTGAAAATTCTGAGAGTTGCAGTCCCAATCACTCTGAATATTTACTTATTAGATACATATTCTGCTCTTCATTCAGGAACTCAATATGTGGTACAAGTAATAGTCCATTTTTTTTCCATTCTGCATGTCTTGAGTTTGTCTGTCTACAGTTGTCCTTGCAGACCAAACTTGATAAGTAAGAAAGAAATATGAAGTTAGGACAGGTGCTTCTGAGCCCATATTCTACATCATTTTATGGGAAAGGGGTGAGCTGTCATTTATGCTGGGATGGAGGAGATCAGTGCACGAAATATATAATAGCATATTAGTTGAACGGGGAGGTTGACTTTTCATATGGAATCCCCTCCCCCAGTTTCTCTTCATGCATTCAGATAATCATGGAAGAGCACTTGGCTTCTATGTTATATAAAGGGCATGGTGAAGGAAAATGGTATCCATTCATTCCTTCATTACAAGAGCTCCAACATTACCATATGAAGCAGGGCAGAGATAAATGAGAAGCCGTGGAGAAGAAAAGAGATTAGAGCAAGCATGCTTTAGGAATGAGGAGGAAAGAAAGTCCCCAGTGGATTATTGAATGGGAAAGAGATTGGTGTATGCTGACCTTTACTTACAAAAACATGGGATGCAGGCCTCAAACTTCTCAGTTTTGTAATATCATATGCTTGCTTCTGTTTGCACCTTTGAAATATTCTTTTATTTTACTGTTTTGTTAGGGTTATGGTTTCCCTGTCAACAGACTATTTGATCTTTTATTTGAAATAAGAGACCAGTACAATGAGACGCTTCTTAAAAAATGGGCTATATTGTTCAGGTTAGTATTGCAAGATAAGAAGAAGGTCTTTCAAAATGACAGCCAGTTTTGGTTCTACTTTTAATGGCTAAATATTTGAATATTTCATTCTGCAGTCTTTGAAATGGTATTTGTTTATTTTGTATTACACACACACACACACACACACACACAATGGTTACTTATTGTTTTGATTTATACACCAAGACCACCCATCCTATATTCTGGGGATTTCAACTTTAAAATGAAATATTTGGTGAAGTATAAGATTACTGTTCCATATGAAGCTTCTTTTTTTTAGCTTGACAAATATTTGTAGTTTAGTATATTATCAGTTCTCGTCTACTGAGACTAACGATTACAGTTGTGATACTTCTCTGCTTCTTTTTTTAGCTATAGTTCACTGCACTTTAAATCACCAATATTTTTGACATCAGAATTCACAAACTCATAATTTTCCCTTTGAAAGAAATGGGATGCAGTAAAGCTTAACACTGGCTGGATTGTGCCCATGTATGTCATTATATTATGTACTTGAACTGTATGTTCCTAATTAGTTCCTTAAATTCTGCAGGGATATTTTTGAAGTAGATAATTACAGTCCAATTCCTGTATCAAATGAGGAAGAGTACAAACTTGTGATTAGTAAATTTCCTTTTCAAGATCCAGAACTTGACAAGGTAAGAGAACCTCGTGGCATATTAGTTTTTAAAACTAAGGAGAAGAGTATTTATTCAGATTTAGATGCTCCTGCCTCCCTTTTTTTCATGCATAAAATAAGATGATTATTTCAAGAATATTATTAAGTTTCAAGAAAATAATAAATAGGAAATCTATAGAGAAAAATATAAGTGAGAGAAGAATTGAGAATAGCGTAGAACTGGCTGTATTTTGCTTCTTATTAATGGCAAATTAGATTGCCATTGTGTCTAAAAAAAGCGGCAAACTACAGTTTAATTGAATCATACCTAGCTGACCAACCAGGATCTGTTTCTAGTGACCTGATTCATACATTGCACTAAGCCATTGGTTGCTTAACTGTGGCTGTTGAATAAATCACGATTGAGTTCAAGTGGCATACTAAGCACAAACTCTTTACAAACTGCAGTGGTGAGGGTCACACAGTGTGCTAAACCAGTGGGCTCCGTTATAGCTTAACATAGAGGTATGTGACTTAGGGCTTCCACTTTCCATATCTCCAGAAGTTAGTACCAAAATTTAATTTTAATGTAGGAAATAGAGAAAATTATTAAAATGTGTGGACAATAATCATCTTAAGTTAAATTCAATTTTGGTATAAATGTAATGAAATAAAATCTAATTTTTCCTGACCTCACTCTACTTTTTGGAATACAGCTCTTGACTCCACTCTAAGCTCAAACACAACTTTCAGACCAGAAATATTTTGCACATTCTTGGCTTAGAACAATGTGTGAACCTAACTAATATGTCTTTGTAATATAATGTTACTGTATTCATCCAGTGCAAACCTATGAGAGTTAACAGAGAGAACATGGCCGTATACCATCTGGTGCCATCCAGATGTGTTGGCTCAATTCCCATAATCTCCCAACTATTGTAACTGTTGACTGCACTGGCTGGGAGATGATTGTAAGTCCAAGATGACTAGGAGCATCAGGGTAAGAAAGGCAGCGTTAGGAATTTGGTTGAGGGCCCTGAGATCGTGCCTGTGTTCCTTCCCTAGGAGCTCATCTTCTTCTCTGTGCTAATTTTCTTTTAAACTTCTCCCTTTTACTATGTTTTGGTTACAGTGATGACAGTAACCTTGAGGCTTTAGATCTGGCTTTTGTGGTCTAAACCTGTATATTAATCACATGAAAATTATTGGTGATACTCTAAGTATCCTGCAATAGAAAGGACAGGAGGAAATGAGGAGGAAAAAAAACCCTTCAGTGATTATTTTTTCTCCTTTGGAACCGAATTTATGCCGCTCAGACTGAATAGCTGTTATATTTTCCAGATAATGAGAGGAGGCAGGATTCATGGTCCAGCACATGGAGGAACTTAGAATATTATGGCGTATTTTAATATGAGTAATTTTGTTAGGCATATATCTGATATTTAATATATGTCACTGTAGAAGACAAGAATAGAATTTAAGTAACTAAATTACAACCAAATATAGTTTAGATTTGAGATGAGATTCTTTTTCCTTAACTTGACCCAGTTTGAAACACAGTACCACATGGCAAATCTGTTTTGCTTCCACAGCATCGCTTTCCAAAGAAACTTCCAATGTCACAGTCAGTGCCTCAGATTTATATCCAGGTTAAAGAATTTATTTATGCAAGCCTTAAATTTTCAGAGTCACTTCATCGGAGGTAAGCATTGATGAAATCAGTGTCCATGTAATAATTTTAATTGCACGTGTTCTCCTGTGCTTCAGGACAAGGAGAAACTAAAGGGGTTTAGCCTTGTAATATGGCATGTGTCTGGTTTTGGAAAGTCCTGTGCTGAATCCCTAGTATTAGCTGGGAAAGATTCCTCTTGAAAATGTTGGAGAGCCAATGCCAGTGTACATAGATATTGAAGAGCTAGATCAATCGTCTGTCTCAGAAATAGGCAGTTCCCTGGTTTATCCTCAGACTTTCTGATTCATCTTCCTATTTGCTCTGCATGCAGTTTACAAGTTGCTTTTCATTTTTTTAAAAAATATTTTTTATTTCGGTCATAGACCAGCATAAAACTAATAACATGTTGCTCTAAAATAGAAGTAAAAATAAAAAAAATTGATAGAATAAAATAAGATAAAAATAAAATTATTAACATAAAATTACAAAGTACAGGATTAAAATCTGGGAAAGACCCATAAAATTATAATCAGTTTTACAATCAATAAGCTGAATGCTATAGATAACTAGGATAGATAACTATAAAAGGACACAAGTAGTGCTAGGAAGTTGCTTTTTATTAGTTTATCCTCTGTTCCAAGATATTTTTAGAAAAAGTAATAGATGTCCAAACGCTTCTCATCCATCCATCCATCCATCCACCCACCCACCCACCCACCCACCCACCTACCTACCTACACACACATACACACCTGTAGAAGGAAATAAAGCTTTGTTCTTTTGTTTTTTGAAGACATTTCCTTCTTCCCTCTTCAGGTCAAACTTTATTTGTATCACTCCATTCAATAATATCTTTGTATTAAAAGATGTCCTTCCTGGAATATTGAGAAGTTCATTTTCTAGTAGATAGAACACAGTACAAAGGAGAATTTGCTCTACTGTGTTCAAAGGCTTCCATTTTCATTAATCTCAAAGCATTACTTGGCTTTAATTGGATGGAATGTGTAGTTCTTCTTTGCTTGCTGAAATCTGGAAACTATTTCAGTTTGTTGTCAAGCTGTGCCTACTGTTGACAATGGTAAATGGCTCCCCTTTCACAAATACTGAACTAATAAGGCTTCTTAATCTCCATCTCCAAACAGGAACTAATTAATCATGCAGATTACTCTTTTGCAAATATATATGAAGAGCCACAGTTCAAATTACATAAATACATATGCTGAATTTTTTCAAATCATTAGCAAGTGTTAGCTTGAGTGAAATCCAGTCCTTTGTGGCAGTTAAGCAAACTTATATTTGATTACATGTGTGCACAAATAAAAATAACGTGTCTCTGTAAAATATTGTATCTACATCTTGAAAATGATTTATGTATTACTGTGCCTCCAAAAGGATGGGGCATCAGGGAAAACCAGATTATGGCTTAAGTCACATGTATTTAATATTACTATGCATCAGCATTCCCAAATGTTACGCTTACCATCTTCCTTGGACTTTTGGTAAATACTATGTGCTTCTCTGTGCACTGAAAGCTGTGTGGGTAGAGAAATTATTAATGCTAACTCCTTGTTGTTAGTTTTAGCTCTGTATTAAACCAGTATAATGATTTCTTGACGATGTAGTGATACTGTAGCAGTATTTGGGAGGTACTGATTTTAGCACCACTCTTGTAAGTTTCTGTCAGGCTTCCCTTTAGCCTTGGAACAGCCAAACTAATTAATTTTGCAGGTAAATCAGTTTGGCTTCTGCTTCACAGGAAGCATTGCAGCAGCAATTTCACCATGCTTCTGCTGAAACTGTGGGGCAGAGCATCTTTCTACCTCTAATCTCTGGCCTCTGGCATCTTGCTCCATCCAGAGGCCATGGGCCTTTGGCTTCCTACTCTTGACCTTTCCATCCAAGCCGAGCAGTGGCATGACTGCTCCACCAACAGTGGCTGATTTTTTTCCCTCCTGACTATGAAAAGCTAAGGCAAGGAGATTAAGAGCAAAGATGAGGTGGGGTTTTTTGGTGGGGGTTTTTTTTTGCAGTTTTCCTCCCACACTGGCTGGCTTTGGGGGCGCTGGCAGCACATAATGGGAAAGATGGTGACAGTTGGGGGTTCTGTGCAGAGTCTCCAAAATGAGGAGGGCAAAGCCAGCAACTAAATGGAAGGGGCTTAAATCTGTGCAGGTACCCCTCTGGAGTAACTAAAATGGTGTATTGGTGAAAAATGAATCTGGATACGGTGGGGAAGACTGAAGGATAATTTTTTAAGTTGGAATGTTGTCCTTCTCCAAGAGAACCAATATGCCAAGAGGTATATTGATACTGAGGCACAACCAGATGGTGGGAAGGAAATGTTAAAGCTGCAGGCTTATTTAGCAGCTTCATATGCAATGTATTCATCTGTTTTCAGAGTATCTCAATTTTTTTCTCCAGTTCAACAGAGATAGATGACATGCTTAGAAAATCTACAAATTTATTGCTGACTAGAACTTTAAGCAGTTGTTTACAAAACCTCATTAAAAAACCTCACATAGGTTTGACAGAGGTAAGTGCTGAGATATAGTTTCTAATATTCTATATATTTTTGGGTGTAGTTCAGGGACTTCCAAACTCTTTCCTTAGGAATCATGCAGCTTCCCCAGAACTTTTAAAATAAGAAAATCAGGTATTGTGGACAAGTTTCTTTAAAATACGTCTTGATATTATTTCTATGCCTTACTTGAACCTGTGGATCTGCAGGGGGGGGATTTTGGGGTAATTTGAGCTCATATGTTGAGTTAAGTTTGCAATGCATAACAGACTCCTATTCCATCTATTTTAGTTTAATTAATTAATTAATTAATTAAATTTATATGCTGCCCATCTCCCCCAGAGGTCAACTACTACTACTCCAGTCCAAATAAATGATGAAAAACAGCATAGGAGAGAATGTTCTCTCCAGCATAGAGATATTCTTTAGCGAGCACTTAAAGATTCCTTAGTGGATATATTAGCATGGAAAAGATTTCCTGAAGCTAGAAAAGGTACACATAATGTCTATAATGAAGCTTCTGCATATGTTGCTATTCCAAATTAGAACGACACTTTGTCTTTAAAATAGACGTATCTAATCTGTTACCATCAATCCATTATATGCTATGTTTGTTTTTGTATTATATATTCCGGTTTGGGGGGGGTCCATCCTTAAGAGTGACCTAAATGTAATTTGAAACTTAAAAAATGTGTTTTATTAGAACTTGTTCTTGTATCTTTGTTTATATTTTTTTAAGCTGGTGCAAATTATCATAAATACAACACATTTGGAACAAGCATGTAAATATCTTGAGGACTTTATAACTAACATTACAAATATTTCCCAAGAAACTCTTCACACAGCAAGATTGTATGGTCTTTCAACTTTTAAGGTATGTGAGATGTGATCAATTTTCAAGTCCTAGTGTGAACAGCCAGATTATTTCTAGATATTGTGCTCTAGCTGTATGTTCTGGGTGCAATTTATATATGTATGAATAACAGTGCCAAACATATTAGGAAAAGTAACTCAGCATCATAAAAGATAGTTCCAAATAGTTATCTATATAGGGTACATTAACTTAGCAGTAAAATAAATGAAATTAACTTAGGTACATTGCTGTTATGATATAAAATCACTTTTGGAATGTTGGTTTATTTTAAAATAACATAATCTCATTAAAATTAATCCATGGTGAACTATATATTACAATGGTATGACGGGGTCATATTTGGGAGGAGACAAAATGAAAATATGTTTGTGCTCAACATCTTCGGTTACACCTGCATGTTTTTCAAATTTGATTACACATGTTGATGGCTATTCCAGGTATTTTTATTAGCAAAGACATGGCATTTTGAAGTCTCCAAATAAAGGAAAAAATACGAAAAGAATGTCAGAGGAATAGGCATCTGTGAGTTTGGTCGCTGGATAATAAATTTTAAGCCAGTGTATATAGACTACAGTTGCACAGGCATGGATTACTGAGTTCCCTACATTTGTACCACTGTTGGCAGAAGATCAGTATTTTTGGTGTTCAGTCAAGACCTAGAGTAAGTACAGACTCTCTGATGTCTGGTACTAGGAGTATCTCCAGGTAAGTATAAAGTAATGAAGGGAAACTAAAAATAATTTCACATATGCTCAGTTGTAAATGAGCTAGTGGAAACTGACCAGGAAAATGATCTTGGGGTATCTGTGCCTCAGATTGGTAGAGCTAAGAAAGATGTAGGAACCAATGACCAAAATAATCAGGGAGCTGATGCTCTTTCTCAATGAACATTTTTATTTTTATTCACATTCTGTACAGGAACAAAATAAGGCAGTCTGTAATGATGATGATGATGATGATGATGCATTGATGTCTGTTTTAGAGACTGTAAAACAAGGTTTATAGAACTTCAGACAGCTAAGTTTAACTGTGCTGACTTAGACGTAAGGCCCTCTCGGTTTAGTAAGATTATTCCAACTAATTACATGTGTATAGAATTGCAGATAAGTTCCTACAGGAGCCTTGTGCAAGCACTGTGTGTGTATCTTTTATCAACTCATAAATTTGTGTATCTTTTATCAATTCATACATTTACTCATTGTCTTATCCTGGCATAATAATCTTGAAATCATCCATTTCAAATGTAGTTTGCCATGTCATATGGGGCTCTGTTTTGAGAAGATTCATTTGTATGTTTTCTGGCCTCACAGAACTAGCCACATTGTCTGTTGGATCCTATCTCTAGCATAGATATTATTTTAATGCTTTAGAAGATAACCCGTGTTTGTGGAATAACAATGTAAAAAATGGGTTATGGTTCTCATTTCTGAGCCTATTTGTACAAATTTGGAATGTTTTCGTACACTGACTTTTTTAAAAGTACACAGAAACAGGGATCAGTTAATTCCCTAACAATTACATCTTGAGTTTCAAGTAATTGCCTTACTATGTATACACCCAAACAGGGCAGGATTTTACAGACCAACAAACTGAAAGAAGGATTATTCCCACTGAGAGTAATTCTGTCTTCAGTACTTTTATTTTGTAACTAAATCTAAAATGATACCTATCAAATTCCAGCATTAGTCTCTGTCATCAAGGTTAAAGGAAAATAGGAAGGATAAATAAATGCCCAAGGGATCAGTGTTATGCCTCTGTATTTTCTGCTTGGAGAACATTTATTTGCCATTACCATGAGACCATTTGTGCGTTTTATAACTAGGGCAAATGGGAGTTGTTAACCCAGCAAGGTTCAGAAGAGCTTGTCACTTATTTTCTGCTAAATCCCTCTTCTTCATGGTCCTCCATGGATCGTTGCTTGCAGCTGGATTGCCTTCAGTTTAGACACCTGGTGATAGAGATGAAATAGAAATCCTCCATGGTGTTCTGCTGAAGTGGATTTGCAAGATTTGCCCAAAGGGACTTTGCTGTAGCACCATTAAGAACACCAAAAACAGTCCTCCAGTTGTGTACTTTGGTAATCAAAATTTCACACACTCCCTCCTTTTAAAAAGATGGATTTGAAGGAAGGTATTTTGTCAAAATTACATAGACAAATAAGGTTGTTACATTTTAAAAAAAGAGTCTGTGTTGGGGAAAAATTCATTGAAAAATCCTAGGTGAAAAAGAGCATTATGGAAATTATCCCTTTTTTTAATTAAAGGAGCTCTGGGGTTATTGAGGAAAGTTGTTCCCAAAAACTATGCATATTCATGAAATTTGCTAATAATAAACAGATGTAAATCTTTGAAACAAAACAACACAGTAGCATCTTACACAAACAATAAGAAAATGCACGAGATCTGCACATTTCTTACTTGGTGAAAAATATCTTCATAGCTTTCCGATGACAACTTTGGGTTTCCTATCACATCTGCTGCTGCTTTAATCATAAGTGAAAGAGCAAATCAGAAACCAAATTTTGGCTGTAGATAGGGTCAGCATGATCATTTAGGGAGGGGAAAATCATATGAAGTGATCCTGACCAGTCTGGTCATCTAGAGAGGGCCTGTTAATAGTCCCTGTTCCTTTCAAGTTTCATGCATAGTGGACAAGGTGATGGGCCTTCTCCATGGTAGTCCTTGCTTTGTGGAATTTTCTCCCCTAAAGGCATACCGGTAGTCCTCATTTAGAGTCTACCTCGTACAGTGACTTTCATAATTATGATGGTGTTGAAAAAGTACGTTTGCAACTAATCCTTGCACTTTCGACATTCACAGGTCTGTAAAGCAAAGGAAAAACGAAGTAAGATCATAAGCAGTGTTGCAGTTTCACTTAGAGAGTGCTTTGCTTAATGACCAAGTTGCCAATCCCAATTGTGGTCACTAAACAAGGACTACCTATATGTGACTGCTTCCTTGTTAAAATTCTATAAACAAGTTAAAGCTGTGTTGCTTCAGCAAGCTTTCAGCCCCTAGCTTATTTCACTATCTTGCTACCTTTGGACTATTGAAGATTCCTCCAAGTATTTTGTTGGAGTTAGGATCCATCCTGGAATCTGGAGTGGGTAGGATCCTGACGTATGTGCTGGTAGCCTTTACAGCAAAATAGGGATGGTGAGAATAGTTAGTGTGCCTTCTCCCCATCTTCAGTTGACAAGTTTACATGTGAGGTGAGGTTTCTTTTATATATCTCATACTTTTCCCTACTACGGCAAAAAGATGTCAAGTGTGATCATTATGGAAGCTGTTCATCTGTTCCATTTTCATATCCCAGAAAACAGATTCAATCAGAGATGGAGAGCTTCCTTAAATTTCAGAAAAGATCACAAAACACATCCTTGGGGCAATTTCTCTCTCCCATGTATGTAGTATTTTTTTTTTTGTTTCAAGGAAAAAAAAATCAAGAAGACTGTGCAGTCCTTTATTGTCTGTTCTTACCTTTCTCAAGTCTTTGTGGTGATTTCAGTCCTTCAATAAATGAATACTTCACAGAGTCCTGGAGTGTCATGCTTAATGCTAATTATACGAAAAGCAATGAATCATAAGAGGAAAAAATTAATTCATTTAAGCTTTATTGTAACTTCTTCAAAGTTCCCATCAAAGTTTTTGTAGATCAACTTTCCCTAAATCGATATGCTTCACATGTGTTGGGCAATAATCCCATCATCTCTGATGAGCAAATCAATAATCAAGCTGATTGAGCATGATGGAAGCTGCAGCCCAACACATCTGGAAGGCACCAGGTTATGGAAAGTTAGCCTAGCTGCTGTGTTGTGATTCTTCTGCAGAAGTTGGTCAGTGGAGCTTTAGAATCAAGTGTTATTTTGATGAAAGTTCTGAGGAACAACTGCTGTCAGTAAAACTATTATTTTCTCAAAAGGTTGTTTTGGGTCTTCCTATTTTGCTCTGTAGGGATTTGTCATCTGTTCCCTATGTATAAGCAGTATCTTTAGTGTAGTGGCCACTATATTGGTCTTTATTCATATTATCGGTCTGTGGGATCATGCTGTGGCTGTCATTTGTGGCATCTAGGCTCCTGGAGGGGAAACTCCAAAATTAATTGCAAAGAAAGCTAGCCAGGTTATAAGGGCATACCCTTTGTAGACTCTTCCCTCTTTCCGTTACCTGCTTTAAACTTAATCTGTTTGCCCCAGAGAATTACATCAATGCATATATTTCACTTGTGGTGGAAAATTCTTTTTGTATTCTTGTATAACTTTTTATGAGAAGCTGCATTCATTTCACTAATTTATCTCCTGGAGGCAAATTATAGAAATCTTAGGCTGTAATCTTAGGTGTGTTTACTTGAATAATTATGGGCTGTTCTGAGATTGCTTCTGCAGATGAGCAGGGTGTTTGGGGTCTGTGAAAACCCTGACAATACTGTATGGAATTGCTGTGAGTCACTCTGGGTTTCTCTGGAATAGATTTAGGTAGGGTGCAGTTTGGTTGAAAGGGCTTCCTTTTATATACAAAGCTCAAGAGTGGTTAGACTAAATGATCTTTAAGTTTTCCAACTTTGTGATTCTACTTCTGAGTTGTATGTATAATTGTGCTGTTAGCAGCCTGTCCACTACCGATAAGGAATTCATCTTTTTCCATTTATGGCATTTGGTCATTAATTTCTTATGTTAGAAAGATTCTTTCCATGTACTTAAATAAAATGTTAAGATTTAAACAGTAGAATGATATAGTAAATAACAGTGATAAAATATGACAGACTTTGCTGGGTTTCTCATTAAGTTACAAAAGCGTTACAAAACTCATGATTCTAAAACTGCAGTATGATAGACAAATCAGTGCTGATGAAAAAGTAATACAGCCTTTTGAATAATAGCTTGACTCTTTTTTCTTTAAAACTACCAAGGTCTGAGTATTATTTCAGAACATTTATGGCATTCGGTAGTTATCTTACAGATATATGCATTTTACTTCATAAATAAGTTGAAGCATTAAGCATCGTATTCCTTTTGTAACAGAATTTGGCTTGCATTGATATTATTAGCCAATTTGTTTTTAAATATCTTACAATTTGAATTTTAAAAATTTCTTTTCGATTTTTCTTGGCCCACATCTGTTCTGTTTTAAGCAAGAAATTATCCTTAAGTTAGTAATGCTATACTGAAGTTTTATTATCTGCTCTTTTGAGGATGCAAGACATGCTGCTGAAGGGGAGATTTATACTAAGCTTAATCAGAAGATTGATGAATTTATCCAACTCGCCGACTACGATTGGACAATGACTGAGCCTGATGGGAGAGCTAGTGGCTATTTAATGGATCTGATTAATTTCTTAAGAAGCACTTTTCAGGTTTTTACGCATTTGCCTGTAAGTATAGAAAATTAAATCTGTTGCAGTTCACTTTAATTTCTACACGTCTAAGGGCATAGGTGGGAGGAGAAAATCCCCATCCCTGGAATGCAGAAGTGCAATGCTTGCATAGCAGAAATGCAGACTAATTTTATCCTCCTTTTTTTGTTTGGCTGTGAAAACGAGCTTGAAAGCATCTGCTCTTGCTTTAGTTCAACCTGGTTAGCAAGGCAATCTTATGTGGGTTTAATTGAACAAACCACCTTCATAAGTAATGGTCGCAATTGGCTTGTTTCAGGCAATTGTATTTAAGATTAACTAGAGATTATCTGAATCTGGATGACAGAGCAATCTGTGGTTAATCTAAAGCGGAAATGAAGGTGTCTGGTGGTCTTGGAGTTTCAACAAGAGCAGAAGAAGGGGAAAGCTCTTTCTTGTTTTTGTAATATTAAACCATTTAGTGTTGCTTCTAAGCAAGTCTGTGATCAGCTTTGGGGCAGAAGGGTGGGATGCAGATTGAAATCTTAGAGTAATAATATCAACAAGAGAAACAACCACTATGCTTAACAGATCAAGTGTACCCCTTTCCCATTCAATTTCTTCCCTTTTCCATTTGTATTGAGCACATGGGGCAATTAGATAATTTTACACTGTGGACTTACTGACTTACCTTTTAGACAGCCATGCATATTATTTGGGAATAACCGTCACTTTGTTGTTGAAAATCAATGAATACTTAAGCCAAAATAGTAAAATGAGCATCTCTCTTTTTTTAGCATTTTTTTTTTTAAAAGAAGAAGCTGCTGCAGTGAGCAGCCTCCACCCTGATAGGCTCAAATTATTTTGGGAATTCATGCAGGGCTCTGGATGGCCGTTCACTGAATGGTCACTTGGGACCCCCATCAAGGACACTAACATTCAGCTCTGAAGTCCAGCCTTAATGGTGTCATTTGTGTTGAGTTACCAGGATTCACTCTCTGGTTTTAAAAAGTGAATGCTAGTTAACAGTAACATGGAATTAGTTAATGGCATTCTGTGCTTCCTTTAGCAAGAGGAAGAGCTGGAAGGGCTTGAGTTCTCTCTCCCTTTCCAGTTTCTTACGAATGGCTGAGTGTTCACAGTAGCTCCTATCAAATGGGACTTGCTTGCAGACTGCTTTTGGACCAGTAAAAGCAACATTTGGTGCTATGTTTTACCTGTATACTATGAGGACAGAGATGGGTAAAATAAGACTTCTGAACCAATTTTATATATTGAATCTGTAAATTTTAAAAGGTGTTTTTAAAATATACCCTATTGAACTTGGTTAAAAAAATTATAGTTTTATTGTTTATTGCCTGCTTCTCTGTAAGGGAATGTGTATTAAAACAGCTTTTGGAGGTATAGTGTAGAATGGTTCTTATCTGTCGATGCTTTAGACTTTGTGGATCATTTGAAACTTTTTTCCTCGCAAGCTTTTATTTCACATTTATTCAGAAATCCTGGTTTAATTTGGGTTTTTGTTAGTGTTACTGAAACAGATAGTCCTTTGCCTCTGTTAAATCCAATTGTCAATTTCATGTCTTAGTTGTTAGTCTGGACTCTGTCATTTCGTCTCCTATAATTTTTTTCATGTTGTGTGAAAATACTATATAGTAATCATTACTGTTCTGGAATTTTGAGGCAGGACAATCTTTGATATATTTTCTAAATATATACAGTAGTACTATGATGTATCTGTTATAATGAAACCTGTTAGATTCCCACGATTTTTCCCCTTCAGCTACATTTGCAGGAGAGAGATAAAGGGCTAATATTTAAATAGTGTAGTTCACATAACATCTCTGTATGAAGACGTTCTGCAGCTAATACTCTTTTCAAGATCTGTACTGATGCATATTCAACCATGCCTAGTCTGCAGCTTTTGTGCAGGATCTGTGGCATGGAAAGTCATAACAATGTGTTGTAAAGATGGCAGAAATAGGGCAGATTGAGTGACAAGGACAGTTGTTCAGGAGAAGAGTAAAGCTGAACACTTCTATTTGAGAATTTATTTGGAAATTTTATCCAAATCTTTACACAAAGAAGAATGAAGATGTAAACTGGACTGTCTCATTCTAGGTCATATATGGAGATTTGTTTATATTCCCATTTGAAAAAAATAGTTCATAAGAAAGAACCATTTCATTCCAAACATTTTCTTGTTATTAATTATCTATCTGTGGGAACTTATCAATATATTATGAAGAGGTACAGTATGCTCAGAATATGAAAGATGTTTCCATGCTTGAAAGTACAGGGGTTAAAAGGATTTATTCTGAGAGAAACAAGATTGGAATTGATGTGAAGACTCATTCACTCTCCTCTGGATAAATGAGAAACCTTCATTCTGATTATGATTTCTTCATATTCTTTGTAGTTGAGCAGCTGGGCCTATTCTGGGGAAACCCTGTATCCTCCTCATTTGTTTTTTCTTGGGAGAAAAGAAAGTTGATGGAAAGAGACTTGATTCTAGAAATCAGCCTTTTCCCCAAATTTTCAGACAGCATCCATTTTCTGCTGAGAACATCCCAATGGGATGGGATGGAGTGAATGGGAAAAACTTAATTTCAAGAGAGGGAATGAACATGTGAATGAAATTATTGGTCCATCTCATGCTGTATTTTCTTCTATGATGGTCAGCAAATCTACAGGCTCTTCTATAAATTTCCCAGCATCTGCTGCCTTAAAAAAGCATGTTAACGGGGAAGACAGAGGTCTTCTACATGCAATGTATATATATGATCAATGGTTCAGCTAAGGCCTCTCCCTAAGGCCCTAACTTAAGTATGTGAGAATGCACAAGAAGTCCAACTAATTCAGAGTAGGCTCTTGGGTCACCAGTTTTAAGAGATCCCACAGAAATCACAATACTAAATTATTGGCTTTTCTCACAAAGTAAATACTGGGCTTGCAAAAGGACCTTTGTATATTAAGATGCTTTCCTGCTTCACTCTCCCAGAAAAAGGAGGATCTTTTTTTTTACTTCTATGCAGAAATAAATATTTTGTTTGGGGTGGGAGGATATATAGTGGCAGAAGTAAGATAACATTTTGATTAACCTAAAATTCAGCAAAAGCTTGAGTTAAATGTAGACATTTAAATATTGAAATATTGTTCATGGGCACTTAATAATTACAAAAAACAAAGTTCTTTCAGTGGATATGGCTAACACAAAAAGAACATAAAAACTCCACCTGCTGAAACAGAAGCAAGGCCTTATCTGCTTTCCCTTTGTTTATGGCCACTGTTTTTTATTGATAGCATACTTTTAGGATATTATATACATCAAGACAGATCTCGAAGGTTGTAGATTTTTATCTGGTAGTGGCTTTGCTATAGCAGGAAGTAAGGTTTTTTGTTACTCCTCATATCTGTGCTGAATCCTATTCCAGAGAAATTCCCAACCCCTTAGACCACTCACAAATAGATCTAGCTTCGCTTAGAGCAGTGTTTTTATGAATGGTTTTGGTATATAGAAAAATTCTACCTGGAAATTTTCTAGAAAGCAAGAGCAATACACGTGATTGAGATAGCTGAAAATTACAATGAAACTATACCAGTAAAAACAACAAATGCTGTAAATAAAATCAGTGAAATGTACTTCACCTAAAAATAAGGAACAGTGGTTTATAAATTCTGAAGACAATTATTATAAGGAACCCTTTGGGATTTTGTAGCTTTCTCAAACATAATATATTCAGCCCTGTTTTTGTTTTACTTGTACCTGGTTACTTCTTCAGAATACAGTATGAACAGAATAATGGCCATAGTGAATTAAGGTTTTCCTGAGGATTCCCCTCTCCTTGCAATATAAAACATTTAAAATATGAGGGGAAGTGTGATTTTTCAACTTTTGACTTGAGAAGTGAAAATATTTGAAATAGCAGTACAGTAGAAAAAATAATCGAAATAGTGTATGAATATCAGAAGTTTTTTTTTAATACTTATCAATGGCTTTAGATGCCAGGTTGGGGACAGATCATCCTGGAAAAGGTTTACCTATGTGCTTGTTAAGAGTTGATACCAGAATGATGACACATCTTCATCACTGACTTAGGACACTTTGCAACTGAATTGTGTAAACTGTAGTAATTTTTGGTGTGCATATATTCAACTACAAAGGAAATTGGTAGCAAATTGTAAAACCATTTCAAAAAAATAATTCTTGGTAAAATTAGCTATCCCTGTGGTTTAAGGTAGACTTCCCAGAACTGATAAGCTTGAGATAATGTTGGACATCATTCTCATCATTTCCATTCAGAGGCAAATACTATAACATGTCTGAAAGGTTCCAGATGAGAGAAGGGTGACTTAAGGTTATTACACATAAGGTTAATACACAAGAAGTAGTATAAACATTCTTTGGTTTTTGTATGCTTTGTTCTTCAAAATGTGTTTGCATTTCCCTTTTCTGTGTTGTCACTTGATAGAAAAGCATTGATGTTTTAAAAAATAAAGTAGAAGACCATATTTATAGCAAAAATAAGCATATTTTTTTTACTTTATCAGTTGATGTAATGGCAGAATGTTTTTTATGAACTGTTATTTCAGATTGTCACAAATTATGCCTTAAATGTGTTTTTACAACAAAGCTTGAATAGGACTGGTGATATTGAGAAAGGATTGGGTCACAAGTAGATGTGAGTGGAAAACACTTGCACACAGGCAGCTTTAATTCTTTGGCTGATGGCATCTTGGGCTTCGTGGAATCCTCTTCTGGAGGGTTTCTGAGCTCAGGGCTTTAGAGTAGATTGGGGGGCATAGAGCTCTACTGCTAGAAGAGAGGAACTTAAATCCCCCACCCACCAGGCATGTGTAGAATCTATAGCAATTTGGATCTATTCAGGTTCTGAAATTATCATGCTAATTGAATAGATGCCCAGTCTTTTCAAGTGGCACTCCAGATAAATCCTTCCATTCTTTTTGAAGAAACACTACTTATGCAGAGTATTTTAGTGTCTTTACATTAACACTATGCTTTATATTAATCCTTAATACACCGGAAGGTAAATGATTACCTATTAAATTAAAATTAAATTAGACTAAATTAGTACCTATTTGGCTTTTACAGGTTACAAACAGGAGATTCATTGACTTTATTAAAATGAGACAGATAAAAATCATTCACATTTCAATTAGTATTTCTGAATTGTTGAATCTTTAGGAAATAAAGCTTAGAAGTAGGCATTATTTATTTTCTCAAGGCTCCCCCGCAGCCCCCACATCTGTTACTCAAATGCAATTTAATGTTGACAAGTGTATTTTAATTTACTTTCTGTTTGATTGCCTTGCTGATTTCGTTCTCAGAATAACAACAATGACTATGCAGCCATGTCGGTAAGTAGATGCCAGCTCAAGAAAAGCATGCCCTTGGAAAACTTAACTATGGACTGCCTGCAGGCTTATTGCTTTAGTATTGAGTGACTTATTACAAAGCCCTCTATTTGGTTTGATCTGACTGACTGCTAAGTTGTATAGCAGCATGCAGAATCCAAGTTGAAGACTAACCCTGGTCTTTTGGACGTAAGGCAGAAGGAACCTTTTAAAGTCTCATAGAAACATGATACAGCATCTGTTGCATCTGAAATGAGATCATTCAAAGGAAACTATAAGACCTCTTGGATTTGAGGTCAGGTGTCAAAATGCAACTATGGGATGTGCATACGAAATCAGGTTAAAATGGCCAGATAGTGGCTGAGAATAAAGAGCTGGTGAAAGTTCTAGCCTCTTTTAAAAACATACTTTTTGAAGTGAGGAGAATGTCTGCACCCAAATGTATTTCATAAAGATGATGGATTGCTTTAAAGGATTTGTGCCCCGGTTATTTTCAGGTCATCAGCTTATTTTAAGTATTTTACTTTAGTCCAACACAAATATTTGCATTTTAATGAATAATTGCAACTTTTAAATAGATGGGATCTTTATATTAATGCATAATTGTGTTCTGTCTGCCTAATTGCATTATCTAAGTCATATTTATTTCAGTTGATAGTATTTCTGCATAATTTACAATATCCACACTGTAATAAAAAAAAACAAGCTATTAAAAAATAAAATATAATCGTCAGTTTATAGTACTTCAGACATGTTAAATACATAAAACAACTACACTTTTTATGGCTGGGGACTATATAAAATATTTTGCTGAATATTTTAAGAAAAAGAGGTACCCAGCTGGGCAAAGCAGTAATGTCACTGAAGGGGTAGGGCTTATTTCTGTTCCTCTACATTTAACTATCTTAGTAAATGCTTAATAAACCCAGTTTGATGCATTAAAAATAAGCAAAAAAATTATCCTGCTGAAATCAACAGTTTGAACCAAATATTAGTGGTATCATTAGTGTGGGGGGGGGCATCTGCACAAAAAGGGGCTGAGGTAGCACTACTCTAGATTAAATGATTCCTCCCACCCTTCCATTGTGGAAACTGGCAAATAATGATGAGGCGACATGTAATAAGTTCATTGCAGATACACAGGAATATAAACTCAGACAAGACCGGATAATGCAAAAGAGAGTACTAGCTGATGGCTCATTTTACGGCACCAGTTTTCCCTAAACTAGCTGCTTCCAGATATTTTGAAATTAATTCCATTGTATCCAACCAAGCATGCTTGTTTTGGGGCGTTTTTGACCAGCTTATTTGGAGGGCCCAAGTAGGGGAAGGCTGTGCTGCACAATAATAAGAGAATTAGACCATGCAGCAAAAATGGTCTGTCTTTTCTTCCAGTTATTTCTCTTTCTAGAAAATATACTCTGTTGTTTCAGGAAGTAATTCCTGTTGCAAGTTTAACATGAGCACTTTCAAGTTTTGTGCTTATATGTTCCATAAAACAGTTTGTTTTTTCAGTACTCACATGGATTTCAGACAAAGCTGCAGTTGCTTGTCTTTTCAATTTGAGAAATGGCATACCTGAGCTTTAATTTGAAGCCCGATTTGCCTTAACGAAAGACGCTATTTCTAAAAGCCTGTTTTTAATATTATACAGTACTTGTTCTGTCCTATATAAAGTACTTTAATAGTATTATGCAGTACTAATTCTGTCCTTTATAAATGGAAATCTGTACCGAGACTTATGGATTAATGATCTAGTCCAAGAGAAATAGTTTCTGATCGGCTAAATGCACATATATTTCCATTATGAATAGTTACTTGCTTCCTGTTGCAAAGCGGTATTCAAAATAGGTGTCAATTGTTAGGGCAATTCTTGGGCCTGAGATTTTGCTCTGATAGCAGATGTTTGTATAGATTCTGTTTTTAATTTACTAAAAGTTGATTTCTAGTTTGAATTTTATATAAAAAAAGTGTTATAATTTTATTGGGTCACCCTGAACTTGGAATTCTTACAATGGCTGTTAGTTAAATGCAGTATTTTTTGAAAAAGCAAAAAAAGAAGAAGAATCCCTGAAAGACAACCCATGTTATTTTATATTGCTCCTATTACAAAGATGCTCAGTTATCGTTAATAACACCCCATCTACTCAGATCTCCAGGCCACCAGGATCCATTTTATTTATAGTTGCTATTATCTGACCACATGAAATAATACTTACCACTCTTTCCACGTTATTGATAAAGAGCCAAGAAAGTGAGCACATATGAGTAATCCAAGACTGCCAACCTGGGTAGCTCTATCTCCCCAATATTGAACATTGATCTTTTTTGCTTATCCCCATGGTTGAAAAATTCATAATTCTTCATATAATTTATTTATTTATTTATTTATTTATTTATACATAGACTTATCCCCGCCCATCTCCCTGCAATGGGGAACTCTGGGCAGTTTACATCAAATTAAAACAATAAATACATAATTAAAATTTATAAAGAGAGACACATTATAAATTCCAAGTTTAGACATTCTGTAAATTGGAAAATACTCTTTTGTTGAATTAGCTTCAGTTAAAGATTAAAAAAAATATGTAATATTCTTTCAGACCCTAATCCATTGATTTGTTAATATACACTAGCATTTTATTCCAGAATTCTTGAAAGTAATATCCCACTTTAGTAATATTCTTTAATTATTTATTAAATACTGTAGACTTGGAATCTTCTAAAGCACATTCCAGTACTGATAGTAATTCATGAGTTTTTGATGCTGCTACTTCATCCTGATCAAATTGTGAGATCAAGAGATGTTTTAGCTATTTTAAAATTTTATGCTAATCCCTAATTCCTCTTGCAGTTTCAAATGGTTTAAATAATTGACTGGCAATAAAGTGTTGTAAAGCATGAATGCCCCAACTGCTTGTGACTTAAAAAACAAAAAACCCTGCTGTTTTCAAACTTATCAAGAGAATACGCATAAAAATTATATGACAGTCCCAGCATCTTTCAAATGTGCTTTGCAGACTTTAATGCAGGAAATGCAATAGACCTATGACTATAAATAACGTCAAGCCTCTTCCCTGATATCGAAGAGATCGGATAATACATTTCTAAGTATGCCCATACTGTTTTGTTTTCTTGATCACTTGTGTTCCATAAACAAATGGAAATCAAAAAGGCATTGGTGTCGAACCAGGATCCAAGGACAAGCTTATTCTCAGTTATGGCAGCTCAGTGGGTGACTAAGACAGTCATTCTCTCTTAGCCTAATCCAATGTTTCTCAACCTTGGCAACTTTAAAATGAGTGGACTTCAACTCCCAGAATTCCCTAGCCAGCATGCATATCATTTACATAAAGAAAATTTAAAGTTTTCTTTAATTTAGATAAAGAAAATGTAAAGTTTGTCCTAGGTATAGGGTTGGGTTTTTTTTAGGGGTTTAGCAATCTGTTTGAAATAATGATAGTAGCACAGGACCACTTCTAAGTACATAATTTCAGTCTTGAGGTAACACTAATGTTTACTACGTGTATCTTTCCCTATTAGCTCAATAGGATTTTTAACCCTCTACTTGTATCAGTTTTCATCTGGGATAAAAGGGAGGTATGCTTCTTTGGAATACCTATTCCCAATATTTAAAAGAATTCAAGAATGTATTCAGTTAAATTTCCATTCATTGCAAACTTCTGCAAAAATATTTAAGCCTTTTACTGAATAATACAATATATTACCAAACTTCTTGCGCAGGATAAATATATTTATTATTAGCTTTTTATCCCACCTATATTTTTGGTCAGTTCACAAACCTAATGCTCCTGCCTCCTACGTTCCTCACAGCAACTCTGTGAGGTGGGTTAGGCTGCATCAACCTAAAGTCTCCCAGCTAAAGGAGGACTAGAACTGACAGTTTTCTGGTTTCTGGCCTAGCCCCTTAGCCACTACACCAAGCTGGTTCTCAATATATATCCCTATACATTTCTTAAAGAGTAGCACAATCTCAAGATGGGTTTGAGTATAGAAAATGTGTAATTATCAATGGGATATATCATCAGCACGTAGTAGCAATTTATATTCAACTCCAACCACTGTTATATCCAAAATGTCCTCTGAATTGAAGATTGATAAATATTATTTGCTTGAGTATCCGGGTGCATTTGTATAACAAGATGGATGCAGTGAGGAGATGAATTTGAGGAAAGAAAAGGCCCCCAACTCAGTCATATATAACTTCTGGTGATTCTGCAAGGTTTTTTAAAATTTCTTAACAGTTTTATTAAGAGTTGCCCAATAAATTAGTTTCAGTGAATTTTTAATCATACAAAGCAGCCTTCTCAATTGAGTGTGTTCCAAATGTACTGGTCAGTGGCTTTCCCTCCATACACATCCACGCTGGGCACTATAGCCAAGCAAATTGCAGAGCACCTGATTATGTAAAACTAATGCACAGGATTGACCATGGCTGCCTTCACATTTTTCTTAAGCTTTTATTTACTAACCTTAATTTGCTGAATATTAATTTATTACAAATGCTTCTATTGCTGCTTGAATCTGGTGACTCAAAGTGGCTTCCAGCAAAGCATCATGCAATATATTAAAATTATCAAATAAATACTATCAACATATATTTGGTATGCAATAATCATCAGAATAAAAACCAAGCAGCCAGATTCATCCCAATTCTGGTACATCTCCCGTTCTTGCTTCAGTCCCCAAATGCGCATTTAAAAAGCCGTGTTTTTAAAAACTTTGTGAATGCTAGGAGTGAGGTTGTACTTCTTATGTCTGGTGGAAGGACATTCCATAGGAGGGATCTTCCGCAGGGAATGCTCATCTCTGAGCCCCCTCTCATCATATTTCATGCAGGGCAGGGACTCTTACCAAGTATTCTCTACAGGTACATTTTGGATCAAGTGGTCTTCAAGGTGACCAGGCCTCAAACCATGTAGAACTTTAAAGATGATCACCAGCACCTTGAATTGCACCCTGAGAACAAACTGGCAAACAAC